CTGAGTCCCCTGCGGGGTGAGAAGGGCGGAATATAAGAACTGTAAATAAATAAATAAATAAAAGGGGAGAAGAGGGGATGAATAGGGGAGGGAAGGAAGGATTAGTTCAACAAACCAGTTTATCCTACCTCAGATTTTATTTTATTGTCTCCAAAGCAGAGATGCTGTAAATAGGCAGCGGCATTGGATTGTACTGAGGGGAATTGATGCTGTAACATCTGGATAACCTCTGGAAGTTCTGGATCTCTCCATCCAAACTCTCTGTATGCAAAGAAACAAGAGAAAAATTTAGCATTGAACCTAATAATGATAGCAAGTCTTCTATGGTTGAGGCACTAAAGATTTCATGGACTAAACCAATGAAAAACAGGGGGGGGGGGGATTTTTTTTTACTATAATTACTCCAAGAATGAATGCAAAAAAGAACTCCCCATAATTTCCAGAATGAGTGCTTAAACATTGTGGGAAGGTAGCTTTCGCTTGATTCATTTTCTCAACATTCTATTATTCTAAAATAATAGAAATGAAATGCACTATAGGAAGCCCTGATAAAGTTTAAGAAACGACATGTATGAAAACACAGCCAATATGCACAGACATGCTTTTCACCAACACTGAATAAAATCAGTCCAAGTGGCAGATTTGGGGTGTTGGTGGGGATGGGAAGTGGGAGAGAAGTACACCTAGAACGCAAACTAAGAAGGGAACATCACCTGGTGTACCCACAGTGCTGCAACAAAGAGCAGTTTCTAGTTTGTCTTTGAGGTTCACACGATGTCTACAAGCATGCAAAATCCTCTTGTCCACTCTCTCTATCAGGTTGGACTTATGCAACTTACAGGAAACTATGCCATGGGAAAGATTCCATTTGGAAGAATTAACCAGGATATAATTGCAACAACTATCTCTCCATATTATATGCATCTGAATTTGTTCCAAGAATCCACTGCTCCCCCGCCCCCCAATCTTTATTATATTATACCTCTCCTTCTCACAGATTTCATAGAGAAAACTAGCATTGTGTTTTTGCACTTTGACAAAATGATCACGGTCTTATAGTGCATGAGTAAAGTGACCAACTGCATTTAGATATAGTCAGTAAGACTAAAGAAAATATGCGGCTGATGTACAGAAAGAAATGCCTCAAGTGCATGTTGACATTTCTATGATGGATGGAAGAGGAGTAGTGATGGGAGAGACAATACAAGTAATGATGGGAGAGACAATACATGGGAACAGATGGCTATGGATTCATTCATTGTAAAATATCTTTGACACTTGGGGTACAACACAATTACATAGTTCTTTAAAATGAATTCATACACAAGGCTTCTGCTAAATCAAACTAAGCCACTAAAATGGAGAATCTCTTAGAAATAAGAGATCATTAAATGGTAATGTTAAAGCGACTCATCAAGTCAATAAATGCTATTTTATTTTGATGGTGTTACGAGACATGAAATTTAATCTTGATTTTACAGCTGAATAATCTTTGATGTTACTAACCTGGATTTCTCTCTCTCCCATTCTCTTCAACCCCAATAAAAATGTAACACTAAGCTCAAAGGTACTAGCGAGTATATTTACCACAGCAATATGAATGCATTTTCCGATCTTAATCTCATTTAATGGAAGCAAAAAAGGCTAACTATGCAGCTGTAGTTAAATTCAAGTTACAATTACACGAAAACCAGAAATATATTTAAAATGCTGCTGAAGAAGTTAAGATGGTTTCAAGCTATGCGAGACAGGACTACAAAAGAACCTTTCCTTGGGAACAATGCCACGTTTATCTAACGGGACATAAACTTGATAGGTTTACATGGCCAAGAGGTCCTTTGCATAAAGAAGTTCAAGCAGTGATTCAAACAACAGGAAAGAGTTTTAATTCCAAGCTTCTTTTGAATATATAACAATACACTCAGATACCTTGATATCAATTCTTAATCTTTCTCTAGCCACCTTCCATCTAGTTGACCAACTCTACAACCATTTCTCTTTCAGTGGACTGAATGTTTATTTAACTGACAATACCCACTCTGCCACAATGAAGAGAACAAAAACGGGAGGGGAGTGCCATCTCATGTTCCTGGGCCATCTGAATCTGGGAAATCCCATGTTCCTGGGCCACCCAAGCCTGGAGAACATGGAATGGCAGTGTAAACACCTGTAGCTAGTTCCGTGTTTTTAACTGGCCCAACTGTTTACATGAGCCCAAACTCATGGATTTCCCAGTATCCTGGGAAATAATTCAGAACAACATGATACTTTGGTTAATGTGGCTCAAGGCCACATTAAGCAACTTTGACCTGCCTTAACATGGATCAACTCTGTGTAGTATTCAGCTACCACAGAACTGATGTGCCCCTAGAAAAGAGCAGAATATAGTCCTGTCTATTACACCATTGTTGAAAGCTAGCTTACAGCCCTGTCTTGTTTGCAAACAATTGAGTACAGGTGGCTTGCACACAGTTAACTGAAGTTCCTTGTTTAGTTTTTCTTTGAACAAGGTGGTAGGGAGTGGGTTTTGCATACTGCTTCTACATATCTTAGTAACATGTGCATATCTTAGTTTATGAGGCCAAGATATGGGTTTATTTGAATCCTCTATAGCAGAGCTTTCAAAATATTTCGTATTGGTGACAGACTTTTTAGACATGCATCATTTCACGTCACAACATGGTGTAATCTCTGGTTTACTAGGAAACTAGAGATTAAGCTAACCCCTTATAAGAGAAAAGGACACATACATAAATTGTAGTAATGAAATGTTTGGGGAAACAATATATCTCATGAAAACCTTTCATTTATATATATATTTAAATGTATGATTTGTAAGATAATATACATTTCCAAGAGTTTAGCCATTTCTCATTACATTTGTACAATACACCAATACACCGCAGCCGAACATGAACAAATAGTTTGGAAAGCTCTGCTCTATCTTCCTCACTAAGTGATCTGAAATTAAAATACTGTGTAACATCACACACTGAAAGGCAAACACTCTTGTGGATTTCATTACAAGTGTGTTTTAGTGAATGGAATCTTGCATGTTTCTACTACATGACTAAAATTTATTTCATAAACTAGGGTACATCTGCATTTTCTCAAATGGAGTAAATGAACGCTTCATTGGAAATGATCAGGACAAACATGCAGCCAGTTTAGTTTTATTTCAAAGCAATCTCAACTTATAGACAGCCTCAAATAATACAAGAAGTTTTTTTCTCAGACCATAGCTCTTCAAATGCAGATGTCAATGGAAATGGTGATACAGAGAGGCAAGGATAGTGTTTTCAACCCCTTTGTCACAAGGGCCTTAACAATCAAATAGAACACCTGAGCCAGGTTTTCCACCTTTCAATGTATCACATCTGCTCTCCAACTTTCCCTCTAACACCCTCCTCCCTAGTACTGTGAAGATAACTTTGAAAGCATTCAGATTGACACTCCAGTGCTCTTCATGGCCACATGTTTACATTTAACTGTTTTCTACATGTTGAACTCCAACATTCACATCAAGAAACTGGCAGGATGAAGCCCTGGGCCCTATTTGAAAAACCCTTTGTGAGCAGCCAGCTGTGACCTCTGATAACAATGACCTCTTTATCTCCTGAGGGACCTCTACATGAAAAAGGAAAAGGAGAATTTGGTAAAAAAAAAATGCCAAAAAGATAGAAAGAAAAGGTGGTAGCTGTCAGAAAGACATAGAGAAAAAGAAGGTGATTGGCAAAAAACAAAACAAAACAAAAACAAAACAAAATGAGAGAAAGAGAGAGAAAGGAAGATGTTCTTTTGACTGCTTTGGGCTTGCCAATTACTGATACACATTCCTCAGTACATTGCTTCCAAAGATAATCTATCCCTCAGGAAAATTTCTCCCATCCCTGCTCTAGTTGTTTCACCATACTAGGGAGCTTTCAAATGGCTCAATGCATTCTACTTCAATATGCGGTTTAATATACTTGCACAAGTTTAATATGCTTGGCAAATTTTCATTAAGCTGCAGAAAGTAGTGGTTGAAAATGAAATGAAATAACTATTTTGACTGCCCACATTGTCAAAAAACTGCTATTACTTTCTACTTCTTAAACCACTCTGTATGCATGTTAGGCATAATTTAAGAAAGAAATAGCACACATATCATTTTATGGATAACTTTTGTACTATAACCATTGCTATCCTTTCTCAACTAAATAAATGAAAACCAAGACATTACACAATCCTTTAATAAAGTTATTTTATTGGAAAAACACTAAATTCAAAAGGAGAAAGCAGAAGCAAACCTTCTGGCACAATAGCTCTACATACACACTAGTCTAATAAAAGGCAGCTAACAAAAGGAACGGTTTTACAAGAATGCATAAAAATATTCAAATTAAGGAATTTTGTAAGGAATACACATACACTTTATTAGAATGGCTTGAATGTCATTGTTTAGAAATCTGAAGAATATGGAATTTGCATTCCTTTCTCTGTGCTGTTACTAGATGAATCTTTTAACCAATGTTTATGTATGCATTACTGAACCTGTTCTATAACACATAAAAGTAAATACGAAGAAGGTGATAATGTGAGTTTAAAACCAGTATCTGTTGGTAGATATTTCTGATTTTTTCTCTCCTTTTTATGGTGCCTCTCTTTCCATGGTGCGATAGCTGTAGCAGCTGTTCTGGTGAGGGCCTGTACTTCATATTATGCCACAGTTTTTACTACAAACTTATATGTGTTTTAGAACAAAGCATCTGTTAAGTATCTTGTTAGTGGGCATATTTAACTGGTTCTACATATTTATAGAGCTGTTTGGTTGCTTATTGAGAAATGAATAACTTTAAAAATCTTAGAGAATATTTGTTTTTAAATGGTTTTCAAAAATGAAGATAAAGGGCAAGATGTAGTAAAGGAGTTCTGCTTATGAAATAATAGATTCCACCAGAATGAGGAGGGGGGAAAACTCCTAACTCTTGCCCCCAGAGCCAATAATAACAGGTATAATAACAGAGTTGAAAAAGCTGAAATGCTACTAGACTTGCAATGTGCCCCTCCCCTTTAGTGCCTTCCCCCTCCACTGTTTTTGACCCCTCCTATCAATCTCCCCCCCCCTTCAGTTCCATACCTGTTACAATATCCTGTCTTTTAAAATGTGATTTTAAACTGTTTTCTAATCTACTTTTAAATAACTGCTTTACTAGGGAGTTGTCCTTCCCCTTCCAGGGCGCTTGTGTCCTGCTTTGTGCTGGTCAGTGACTGTAATAAAG